GCTATTTAGTAGAAATTATCAAAAAAATCTCTCACTTTTGCGAGATATCGAAAGTCGTAATAAAGCCTCTAAAGATTTGATCGAGCTCTTCAATTCAAGTTTTTATTGTGACATAACTTTAAGTGATATGAATATCAGCGTCCTCAGCGATGCCCAGCAATGCCCAGCAATGCCAAAGGTCACGGGATTCCATTAATACTTCTAATTAAATTGCTAACATGTACCTTGAAAGTGCTCACAGAGTTCTATGCGCCTTGGCATCGGCCAAAAGATACAAGATTTCTTAAGGAATCTTCAAAGGAGTTCTGGCCATAGCATTAAAGTAATTACAGTATTATATACAACACTGACAACAACACTGACGAACAAGTTTCAAAACCGTAACAAACTGTCGAAGCCGCCACCTGCTGCAGGTAGAGTGACAGTGATAAGTAAACCCGATCGCGTATATGAAAGTGCTCGATCAGACCCCTGTGGCTCAATCGAATACTTCGATATCACAATTGAGTTCAAGTTTTAACTGTCAGATTATTGAAGGGGTATACAAAAATGTGAAAAAAATGTGGCGTACCTTTACCAAGGGTTGTAGTCAAATCCTGATTATCAAAATTGAAAGTTTCTACAACAACGAGAAAATTCAAAAAGTTTACAATACAATTATTTTATTTCAAATTATTTGACAGTTGTGTCACATTCTGGTAATCTTAGAAGTTGGTTTTGCGTTACGTTTTAGATTAGGAGTATTTTACACTACTGTCAAACTTGAAATGAAATCGCATTTATAGGATTACTCGTAATGAGTTACTGATTACAATTAAGGGATTGATTCAGTGTATTTCGACACAGAACCAAGTTCGAGAGCACAGCGTCGCATTACGTAGACACTAAGGTAGACACTGCAACTGTTGGACACTACAACGTGCTGAAAAGGTTACTCATAACCCCCCACGGGTGATATTNTTTATAGACAAAATTTAATGTGTATTTATTTCACAAATTTGCTCTTAAGAATTGCTAATTCTTCTTCAATACATCTAAAAAAAAAGGTAACTAACTTCTTGATACCAAATCTAGCACCTTTTATATTTTTCTAAACTCTAAATTTTTTAAGTTATATTCAACATGGGTCGAACTTCACAAAACGATTCGTCAAGCAACCGACGTACACTGCGTGCTAAAAATCAACGTCTACAACGTCAACTAGCTCGACAACAAAATGTAGATAGTAATCGCGAAGTAGATTTACGTCTAACAAGTAATCAACCTCGAATTCATGAAGATTACTTAGGAAAAATGAATGAACTCTGCATACATTGTAAAGCAAAATATTTCAATAATGAAAAAGTCTCTAATAAAGGACAATTTTTTAGTGACTGTTGTGGTCATGGCTCATTAACGTTAGATCCTTTACCTAATTTTCCTGCTGATCTGACATCGTTATTTAAAGGAGAACATACTCAATCGTCACAATTTTTTCAACGAATTCGCCATCATAATAATTCACTATCCTTTGCGTCTTTTAACACTAATATGGTTAATTTTTCGTCTCGTCGAGCAGGACCATTTTGTTTCAAAATACAGGGTCCGATTTATTATCAAATTAACACTTCTTTGTACCCTTCTGATGGTGAAAATCCATCTTATGGTCAGTTGTTTATTGTTGATCAACAAGAAGCAGTAAACTATCGTGTTATTCAAGACCCTGTTATAGACTACCAAGTTATATCTTTGTTAGATACCATAGTCTGTGATGATAATGTTTTCGCTAAATCATATGAAATGATGCAAGAAGAAATAAATTTTCAACTTTTAAGTTGTAACAGTGAACATCAACCTGAATTACAATTATTATGATCGATAAAACCAGGTCAAGACATCAGAAGATTCAATTTTCAGAGAGTAAATGAAGTTGCAGTTATTTTTTCTACAAATTCTGATGGAGAAATTCCTGATTCATATGTAACTGTAAGAAGTGAAAATACTAAAGAATTACAATAGTAGTTCGATGAATCCTAATGTGGAACCATGGATTTATCCCTTGTTTTATCCCTATGGTACTCAAGGATGGCATCGTAATATGAATTGCAATAATGACTCACAACGTCGTATTACACGGATGGCATATATTGGATATCAAATGGCCATAAGACCTAATGACTTCAATCCTTTTATTATGGGCCACAGATTGTATCAGCAGTGGGTAGTCAACAATTATGTCAAAGTAGAAAAAGATTGAATTCAATTTCGTAAACTCAACCAAAAAAAATTAAAACCAGAAACTTACAAAGGATTGCATGATTATATGCAAAATTCTGCTAATGATGTCAATGGGCATGTTGGTAAAAGGATTATTCTTTCCTCTACGTTCATTGGCTCTCCGCGTGATATGCAGCAATCCTTCTAAGATGCATTGACTATTGTTAATAAAAAAGGAGAACCTGACATATTTCTCACTACGACTTGTAATCCTAATTGGCTTGAAATAAAAAAAAACTTATTACCTGGTCAACAAGTATCGGATAGACCAGATTTGATTGCACGAGTATTTCATGTTAAATAAGATCAGATATTAGAACTTATAGTTAAAAAAAATTATTTTGTAAAAGTTTCAGCATATGTTTATGTCGTTAAATTTAAAAAACGAGGGTTACATCATATGCATTTCTTAATAACATTAGAAAGAGGGTAAAAGTTTACTTCACCGGATATAGTAGATAAATTTATATCAGCGGATATTCCAGACGATACTATTAATCCTAACTTGCATGAAATAGTCATGTAAAATATGATACATGGACCTTGTACTGATTGGTGTATGAAAGACAGGAAATGTTCTAAAAACTTTCCTAAGCAATTTCAAAGTGAAACAACAATGGATGATAACGGATACCCATACTACTGCCGACGAGATACCAACAAATCTTACGAACGCCTTGGTGGATACCTGGTGGATAATAAATGGGTTGTACCTTACTGTCCAAAAGTGTTAGAGATATTTAATTGTCACTGAAATTTCGAGGCCGTTTCAAGTATTTTAGCAGTAAAATATTGTACAAATATATTTACAAAGGACATGATGCTGCTACCGTAACGATAGGAGAGGTACAAGGGGGCAGTATCATTGACCATGACGAAACTCAAGGCTATATTGAAACTCGTTATGTTGGTCCCGTAGAAGCTTGTTATCGCTTACTTAGTAAGCCATTGCGAAATTAAAGTCATTACATATCAAGACTACCAGTGCATTTACCAAACGAACAGTCTATAATTATTCCGGAAAATACTGAGGATCCTATTTTAATGGAAAATCTAAACAATTCAAGTAGTATGCTACTTGATTATTTTAATCTAAATGTCACCAATGACAATGCACGGCAATATTTTTATAGCGAGATTCCCAGTTATTTCACCCACAAAAACGTTAAAAACTTTAATATTAGTTCAACTATTTGGACCGTTCGAAAAAAACATTTTAATAGCATTGGTCGACTGTTTTCTGTTAGTCCGACACAAATAGAGCTTTTATATTTGCGGTTACTATTATTGCATGTTAAAGGTGATACAAGCTAAGCTGATTTAGGAACAATAAACGACGTCTTACAGCCTTCTTTAACAGCTGCTTGTTTAGCACCAGGACTCATGGAAGACGACGATGAATGGATAAAAGCTATGGACGAGGCTACAAGATGGATGATGCCACAAAGACTCCGACTTTTATTTATTCGTTTATAAACACATTGTCAACTTATTTATCCTGAAGAAATATGGGAAAAATTTAAAGATTCAATGTCTGAAGATTTTTGTGATACAAATCCTAAAAAATAAAGTTATTAAATAGCCTTTTCTCATGTAAACGATTTGTTAAATAAAGAAGGTCGAAGTTTAGCTGATTTTCCAACGATGGATCAATCTGTCACTATTCATCTAGTAAATGGGAATGATAATATAAGTACATAACAAGCATTACAACTAGGATACGAACAATATAATCAGTTGAATGAAGAACAACAGAAAGTAGTAGATATAGTTCTGAAAGCTGCACAAATAGATAACTATAATGGCCCAACTTGCTTTTTCTTAGAAGGACAGGGAGGATCTGGGAAAACGTTTGTTTGCAAGACAATCTATAATATCTTATTTTCTGAAAATATCAAAGTCTGTTCAATGGCATTCGCTGGAATAGCAGCTACTCTACTTCCGCATGGTAAAACTGTAGATAAGACCTTTGGTTTACCAGTTCTAATATTCAATGACTCTTCATCAAACATAAAAGCACAATCAAAAGAAAGCACATTCTTAAAAGAGGTCAAAGTATTTTGTGGAGAATCTGTGGTCTGTATGATTTTGAGATAGCTGGATAATCGGGACGGAGGAGAGGATGGCAGGCAGGCACACACAGAGAATTATATATCGAGATGCACATCGACAAACTAACGCACATTGCGTGAAATAAAGGCACAATCACTTATAAATTGATTATCATGTTTAATGGAAAATAATAAATGCACAAATGATACATTTTTAACGTGAATGAAAAATAAGAAACCGTAATATTAATACTTGCACGCAATCGATAACGAACGCATTGCAGAGCACGGGAGCTGCTTACTCCACCTTACCTACTAGAGCTCAGCGCAGACTGACTGCTACAGCCACGCAGCCAGCCAAGGAGCTTCCTAACACATGTATATAGCTAACTACTACGGCTCGGTAGCGGACACGATACGCGGCAATTTTAAAATATAATATGAATACTATACACATTTATTTAGGATGAAGCTCCAATGGCCCCAAGACATGCCTTGGAAATAGTTCACAGAACTTTAAAAGACATGATGAACAATAATTTACCTTTTGGAGGTAAAATCATCATCTTAGGTGGAGATTTCAGATAACTTTTACCCATCAAAGTTCATGGTACTCGTAGCAAGATATTAGATTTATCCATTAAATATATCAATTTATGGAGGAATTTTTTAAAATTTTAGTTAACAACTAACATGAGAGTATTACCACAAGAATTGGAATTTGCTAAGTTTTTATTGGATGTCGGCAATGGTATTTTAAATAATCACAATGATAACACAATACTACCATGTACCAGTATACTGGCAATAAATGAATGCATCGTTGATCACGTTCTTGGAAAACTCATAAGAGAAAATAAATTTGAAGAAATGAGTAATTGTGCCATATTGTCAGCTAGAAATGTTGATTTTAATGACATTAACGAACAAGTCACTGATTTGCTGGAAAAAACTTATGAGCGTATTTATACTGGAATTGATAGTACAGAAAACTGTGACAATGGTAAATTGGATTCAGGCTCACTTTTACCAGAATATCTCAATTCTCTTAATCCTTCGAGCTTGCCACCTTATAAATTACGTCTGAGAAAAAATTGTATCGTTATGTTGATAAGAAATATTAGTGTCAATGAAGGTTTATGCAATGGAACGAGATTGCAAATAATTGACTTTTCTAACCACTTGCTGAAATGTAAAGTATTAACAGGAGACAAGTTAAATAATGTCGTTTTTTTAAACCATATTATTCTATATTGTGAAAATGAATATCCATTTACCATTAAAAGACGACAATTTCCTGTTATGCTAGCTTCCGCAATGACTATTAATAAATCTCAAGGACAAACATTTAACAAAATAGGCATAGATCTTAGAATAGATGTTTTTAATCATGGTCAACTTTACGTATCTATGTCAAGAGTTCGATCATGGTATTCATTGAAAATTTTCTTAGGTCATGAAAAAGATAGAACTACGGTAAAAAATTTCGTTTTTAAGGAATTATTGAGGTGAGCAGATAATTATTTTTTATTAAATCAATACTTACTAGCATGCTTTTACAAAACAACAAAAGTTTGACGAACTTCTAATTGATGACGTACCCAAGTTGTAATAAGTGAATTTTATGTACAGCATCATGTATATATAATAATCCAACACACTAGAAAAAAAACCTCAGATTTATTTATTAACACTACAACACAGATGTTTTTATCAACGGTAACATTCTACCGCATAAACGAAAAAGGTGTTGTAAAAATAATTGTGACAGCACTAAAGTAAGTATTTCATCATATAATGTTATATATTGCATACTTCTACAATAATTTTCAAGTTTTAATAGTGGGTCAGAACTCAATACGTTAAATTTTTGTATAACATTCATAAGGCACTTTCAATTTTGCATATCATCAAACATTTACTACAAACAATCCCTTTATCTGAAAAAAAAATTGTTTACCATGATGATTGTTACTAAGAATTGTTACAAAAAATTTTATTTGTGAAATATAAGTATTCGAGTATCAAAGAAACCCTGTTTGCGCTTACTACACTACTGTCAATAATCCAGAAGTACCTTAAAATATTCGTGGACACGCACTCGATAGCAATTCCAGAGGTAGTATTCCGCAACTATTCTTGATCATGTGAGCCTATGTTATAACATAGGCTGATGCACTCAAAAAAAGTTACGGAATACCACCCCAGACTAAGAGTAGCTTGGAGAAAACTCGAACACCACTTTTTTAAGGGGGCTCTTGCGAGCAGTGAGTACCGATCCAGAGATAATTGTGTTAGTTGGTATCACTTGTATCGTCTGCTGTACAGATTAGTATGCATGCATGTGTACATCAATACGTATAGTTAAAGCTGCATGTTAAACAAATGCTAATCGATCAATATTCACGGAATATCTCGAGCTTTTCCACGATAACCTACATTTGACAGGAGAAAATCTGAAAGATAAAGTTTTTTTCTTGAAAATATTCATATTTTTAGTGTAAGAAGAAGCTTTTACAGTTAGATTACAGCCAATATTGAATGCATTTAAGCATGTCTGAATAAAAGTAATGTTACTTTGAGTAAATTTTGACATCGAATATATTGAAATTTTCAACGATAACGAACAAAATGCCGGATGCTGTTAGATTCAGCACTTTTTTTTATTAAAAAAAAAGCATTTTTAGCGGTGGAAGACCCGTGCAAAAGCCTCTTTAGTACTACAATAAATTTATAATATAATGTGTCAAATATGATTTTATTACTTTTACGTAAACATCTAACATGTTTTCGTTAAGATAATACTACCGTAGATACTGTTTTTCTGATCTCAAACGTAATCTGAAGCTTAAAGATTTACTTCCATAGTGCGACACGCATATTTAACCTGTACCAAGTTACCTGTATATAGGCAGCGACGGGACAGATTTGTACCGGTTGAACGCGCGGTTTGTACGTTCAAAGTAAAGTTTCTAAGCTTCAAGTAAGAATCACGTTTGGAAAAAAAATATCTAAGATACAGTCTTACTTTTAAGAACACTTTTTTTCCGGAGATTCATCGTAACACAATCGTTGTAGATGTTAAAAAATTAAAAACAGATTTGTTCACATTTGACCTGTGTTAATTTCCCCTGACTCGGCTATTTATATCGCAAGAATTACGTGACATTTTAGGATTCCAAGAGTCAAGTGCATGCTCGACACATTTAACATTGTAGGTAATTAATATGCTGATCAAAAATTGGAAAACCATAAGGGCCCACGCAGCCTATCATGCGGCACCATCATAAATAATCACCTGACTGAGGGAGTTTTAAAAAATTTTCCGACAGAGGGCAGCAGGTATGTTGGCCTGACTCCAATCTCCAATGATTATAAAGTATTGCTATATATATATATTGA